TGAAAAATGCTTTGGAATGAACATGAAGAAAACATGGTCAACATTGTCTGCTCATGTATGCAACATGTTACATGGCCCTTATACTTTTGTAAAGCAAGAAGGTATGTGCTGATAAATATCATATGTATACATATCGATACAACAGCTACTAGGAGTTCTGCACATCTTTGAAGTATAAAAATCATGCAAACCCACAGCATCCTCACAAACAAATATCAGATAAAAACCAATACAAAGGCCTTCACGTTACACTTTAAGGAAAAAAACAAAAAAAAAAAAAACAAAAAAAAACACAAAACTCACATTCATTCAGTTAACCGGGAGATGAGACTCTTACATCTATTGCTGAAGAACCGCTTCTACAAACTTCTAGGCATCACTTAAATTGCTATAGCGGTGGTATTCTGCCAACTGCGGAATTTTACATTGAACAGAGGTACGTAAAACGTGGAAAGACAAAAAGGTGTACCGTTGGCAACCAAGCAGGTTCTTCATTTTTAAGCCTGCACTAGAAAAAGTTGGATGAACAAAATTCTTGTTTCGCACTTCTATGTGTAAAGTGTAGCTCCATCCTCCTTACACCAACACAAACACTAAATGCATCTCTTCCCCCCCTCCTCCCCCCAGTTAAATAAAAGCAAAGGAATAATAAATAATAATATATATGGTGCCTTATTTGTGAATGTAATTGTCAGAAATCACGGCAGCCAATGGGAGGTTTCACCCTGACATCCTTCTAGCTTACTTTATCTTGTGCATGATGCAAAGTATTCATCTGATGCATGCCCATATCATTTTTCAAGACACAAAGCTCTTTGAGAAGAAACTTGGGCATGGATGGGTGCAGCAGTGTTTGTGGGGTCACCTGACCATTGAGTTGCCAAGTTAAATGTATAAGAACCCCATGAATATCTCCATTATGTGGGCACTGGTAACTTGATAATAATCTAAATGCATAACTACTGCAAACGTTTTCGTTCTAAATGGAGTTCAACTTTATGCATCTTGAATTAACGTCTCTTGGTACTATCAGCCCATTGCTGACTGCAATTAGAAGCCCGATGAGATCTATATTGCAGTTGATAAGGTAATCTGGCCAGTTCAAGTGGTTACTGATTATAGATCGCGTCATTTCTGTACATCCTCCCAATGCTCGATGTGGAAGGAACAGAGCTTGTTTAAAATAAATACAGACCTAAAAATGACAACTGGAATCTGACTGGTCACTAAGCCCTGTGCACATATATGCCTTTTTAGATGTGGTCTGCACTGTCTGAACTCGGATGACAGTGAACTGAAATGTGTTCCTGGGGGGGGGGGGGTTTCAGATATATGCGGTTGAGACACGTTTTGCAAAAAGGGTCATGTGTGAGTTCTGGGCAGTGCAGTCCAATTTTGCGGTTCAATACACGGCCATCCAACCAAATTTGGAAAGTGTAAACCACATTTAAAAATGTATATATGTGAACCACATATGTGATCTGAATTTGATCGCACCAAAACTGATTAAATTTGGACCGCATATGTGTGAAATTAGGCTAAAAGCTGTTTTTTTTTTGTAGAATATTCCTGACAGAATTAATTCTAATAGGAAGTCTTTATAAAACTGCCAAGTGAAAGAACAAATGAAGTAAAAAAAAAAAAAAAAACCTCAGAGTTTCGCAGCTTCATGTGACTTAAAAGAAAACAAAAAAGTGTCCAGCTAAATAGAGCTACAAAATTATATTTAAAAAACAAAACAAAACAAAAAAAAACAAGAATTTATTTCCCCTTTTAAATATTCACCATTTTGGCCTTTTCTTCTGTGGAGGAAGAAAAGCAGTGCAACAAACATTATCACTACTGAAATCTACTTGTACTACAACGAACTGGAAGAACATTTGGTATCGATGTCCATATGGTACAATTGTAAAATGTTGCCAATTTTAAGAGACAATTGCCATCCTTTAGCAGACTTGGCAATGAAACAAAACACCTTTGTGATTAAGCCCTGATAGGAGCCATTCTCCCACTACTATATACAGGTAACAGGATAATGTATCAGTGAACGGATACATAGAACTTGGGTTGGTGAATGGCTGCTTCCTTCACAGCATTATCTCGAGGGTGTTTTGTTCTCAACAGCAAATCTCTAAATGAACTGTATGCAGTAATGTCCAAAAGTCTGAAGAACAATGTTTATTTCAAATTTTTTTTTTTTTTTTTTAACTCTGTGGAGATGTACTGAAAGTGCTTTGTGCAAAACCAAAATGTACCTATCCTGTACATCAACAATTTATATCATTTACTTTTTTTTTTTTAAAACAAATTATTTACATGGTAACAATTGTGCCCCAAATAAATGTGTGTGAATTCTATAGGTCTTAACAACTTTCAAGATACAATATGTAAAACAATCTATTGTTTCACATGATATATCCTTGATGTTTGTAGCAGTTTAGGACGGGTTGTTAGTTTATTTAGTGAGCTATCAGATTTTTGCAGGTTCTCGCTAATAGTTCACTAAGCCACCATTCGCAACCATCACACTGCTTTAGATGTATTGGTGCACCGCAGTGACATTCATTCTAAATGGCACCTCACTGTGCCAATGGATGTGCGTTGCAGTGCACCATATTGCATGGTAGCGCTATACCATGAATTGTATTGTTGAAGAACTGGAAATCTTTAATACTCCTGTGCTTAGAGAGTAGGCCCAAAAAGGTTAGTAGACTGCAGTCATGTCTTGACCCTCATGAGATGCACTCGCCTTGCTGCCCTCGCAAGAATGGGGGAGTCTAGAGGTACTGCAATAACAGACAGAGGCGCACTGGCCTAGTGCATTATCCTTAAAATGAATCCAAAGCAAAACCATGCAGTTCTAAAGTGATTAACCCTTTGACGCCGATCACACGTAAATATGCGGCTGCTCGGCCTTGACGCCGAGCGGCTGCATATTTGCGTGCAATTAGAAAATACATATGTGCTGAAAGCGCGCGCCCTGCGTGCTCCCAACACATATGTCCACGACTCACGGAAAGGTTCCGGATCTCCCCTTTTGATCGAGACCTTTTCCGATCATGTGACGGCGACTCACGGCAGTCACATAACTCCAAAACTCCACCTCCCAGCTTCTGAAACTCTTAAAAGGGATGGGAGGCGCCAGCACGAAGAGGTTAAAGAACCTAAAACTAGCATACCAAATGAACTTATTTACAAAAAAATAAGACCATCATATGATATTCATATCCAGATGAACAAAAAAAAAAAAAGTTAATTTCTGCTTAGTAAACTTGCAGTCAGCTAATGACTGGGAGAGCAGCAGTTTCCAATATAAATTCTTTGATAACATAACAAATGTGCAAATAAAAAGTAAGGGTTAATAATACAGAAAAATCACTGTTGAAGGTTTGTATATGGATGACTGAAAAAAAACTGACATTTTTTGATGTTTGATGTTTTTGGTAGAGAGAAATAAGAGAACCTCTCAGGCAATACCCATCAGGTATTAATTGACAAGGTTTTGTCTGGAGTTGGTATTTAAGTTAAGCTTATGCAAGGATACAGCCACATCACACCAAGAGCATATAAAACCTATACCCAAACGTGGTGGCGGAAATGTTCAGGAGTGGGGAAGATTCTCTGGTTATGGAACAAATGTACACAGGACCAACTGCACACTGAAAATACTGACAATACTAATACATTTCTGTTGATTTGCAGTGACAAATGACATAAACTTGTTTGAAATGTTTCGCTTAGGTTAAAACAAATGATCTCTTTTTCATATAAAATGATAAAATAAACAGTTCTTGGATACTAATCTCAGACTTTTGGACTCTACTATACATTATACCTTCATAGTTTAGGGAAATCTCCTGATTTATGCTCTCAGCCACTTCAGGCTATCAAGAAGTTGCTTTCAGTGTTCAAGGAGTTTACTCATTAGGAAGTCTATTGTGCATACCTAATTATCACCCCCACATTAACTTTTTATCAAACATTATTAATTTCTGCTCTTTTTACATGTATGTCCACAAACATTACTGACAGTTCTTTACACAACTAAAATGACAAACAAAACTTTCACTGTAACTACAAGTACCCTTGGTCTCTTAAAATCCCTTCCACTGTCACTCTTTCAATTCTCACTAAATAACTTATTGCCAAACTGCCACCATTTTATAGACCAATCACCAATAATACATTTTTAAGGAGCTGGGGTCATTTATTTAAAAAATAGTCTTTCAAACAGTATAGTCTCAATTAAATACTCAAGGGCTCTCACACAAGAAGCTTAGATCCCCCCTTTAGTTATATGTCTAACCATGTACTAAAGTCACAAGAATAACAAAAATATCTACATAGCCTTTAAATATGCCAGCTGCCACTGAAAACTAAAAAGGAGAATTAAGAGAGCATTGGGTAAAGATCGAATGTAGAAATGGCAGATATGGTACCCTATGTAAAAGGCTAAAAGGCTTCTGTATACCCTGGCTCAGTCCATGGGACACAATCATTTGGCAATACTGTGGTCTGGACTAAATCAAACCCCATACTTTTATATTTACCACAGGTAAAGTAAATATGCAAGATTCTGATCTGCAGCAACACGACCGCCACTACAGATGACATGGGGACTGGAGTGTGCTAAATAGGAGCAAAGCTTAAGTTGGCATACCTAAAACGTTAAGGAGACAGCCCACCTTGGTCAGTAGTATGATGCAGAGTAAGCCATGTTCAAAGGAGCCTATTTAGTATAAAAAAAAGTGCAAAGCTGCTTCTGTCTCTGTTAGAAGTCTTCACCCCTGACTCACTGTGCTCGTCGGTATTAAAAAGATCCACAACTGACATTCACTCCCACCCTGAAGCTACGAAACTCCAAGCTACAGGAGGAAAAATAGACTTTTCTTTACTTCATTTATAGGGAAGCGTTGTCAGAGCCCTACCCACAAGGAGAAAAGACAACAGCTGCCTTTATTTAAATGTTTTGTTTTTTTTTCTCTTTAAACTTCTTAAAGTCAGCTAACTCTTTCGGTCACCGGTGTTCTGGTGTCAACAGGTTCCTCCCTGCTCGGCCGTTGTTACGGATGAAGAAACAATGTCTTTTCGTTCACCTTCCCCTCTGTTTCTGCACTTATCTGCAGGCTGAGTCTTAGGCGGCTCCTGTGTACAACCATCGCTTTCGGGTACTTTGTCCTCTTTGCAAATTTTGACACTTAAGTCCTGTGGCTCCGGGGCACTTATGCTGTCCTTTGAAGTCTCTGGCTCCAGGCTAGTTGTGGATGCCTTAGATTCGGAGTGGTGGTGATGGTGGTGATGATGGTGGTGATGCTGTTGCTCCTTTTTGGGCAGAGTGCTCTTGCTTTTAGGACTACTTTCTTTACTTTTGCTTTCTGGGCTTTTTGCAGGGTTCTGTACTTTCACGCTCTTCTCGGTGACAGCAGGTGGAATCACCGGGGTCTCTATGTCTTTAACTTCCAGGCACACAGTTTCCCGTGTCTTACGTTTCTTTATGGGTAATACAGTCTCTAATAGGGGCTTAACGGAAGACTCTTTGATTGCTTTTTTCTTTGCAGCTTCGGCTGCTGCTGCAGCAGCAGCACTGGCACTACCTGGCTTGCCCCCGTTTTTTCGGAGCTACTGACGGGTCAATTTCCAATTTTCTTTTCCGACCTGGACGCTTAATAACAAGGACCTGTTCTGATGTGGTTGCATCAGGTTCTTCTTTATTTCCAGATAAAGGCATTTTGACCAGAAGCTTTCCTGGAGTCTTTTCAACTACTCTCTTAACCTGAACACCCTCTAGCTTGACTGTTGGCTTTGCCTTCCCGCTGCCTTTTGGCCTTCCCCTTCCTCGGCCAGTGCCGGTGGGTTTTGGAGCTTTGGGTTTTTTCGGCGGTTTTTGTTCCCTTCGAGAAGGACTTCCTCTTCCGGTTACAGTGAAATCAAAATCATTGGGGTCGAGGGATGTGTCGCCTACTTTTTGGAAGTATGCTATAAGCTCGACTTTGGACCGAAAAGCTTTTCCACTTGGGCTATTTATTGAAAAAAAAAAAAAACACACACAACAAAATAAGATTAACACACAGTATGATAAGCAGTGCATACCTTACATATCAGCATATGGATCTTTGGAAACACACGTTGTGATAAATTACAATACAAATTTACACTTAGAGCGCGTGTATAGAAAAATGTGTAAGTAGTCATATGTGGAGGAAATATTGGTCATTTTTGAAGGAAAACCTGCTTACATGTATACCTTCTAATGCTCTGTAGGTGGCGCTGTCTGCCAAGTTTGAGTGCACTGTATTGCTTCCTGTGCTGAAGCAGAAAAAAAAAACCCAGAAAGGCCTCAAATGGTGAGTGTATCAAAGTAACAACTGGTTAATAAAAAGAGTAATGACGAGCAACTTAAACCCCTAATTCACCTTTTTTACATTTTCTGTGATATTTTCTATGAGATATTTTGTGGTACTTCCAAGATTTCCCTTGTAGAATATAATTACTCTTTCCTCCCTCTACATGAACGGGCACTTTTCTGGCCCCTGCCCAATTTTTTTTTACATTTTTTTAAATGGTGATTTGTGAACAAAAGTGATGGAAGAATAATGAAGTGACAAAAAAGCTAAAAGGTACATTAAGCAACTATAACTTCGGTACAGCTCACAACAATGCATGCAGAGGAGGGTGAAGAAAAAGAGAAAATTGCAATTAAATCAGAAAATTGGTTTAAAAGCCTTAAAGTATATCTAAAGGCAAAAGTTTCTTTATTTTAGCTTTGGACAGAGTAGAGAGGGTCTAGAACATCTCTTAAGTTTTTATTTTTGCTGTCTGCACCTCCGTTAAGGATATTCACCCTCTCTATTTGTTCTCGTTTATACCATTGTCATTGAAAGTGAAAGTAAAAGAAAATCCGAAACTTTTGGGTTGTCTCCAGAAATGTAACAGAGGGGAAATCTTCCAATGGGGACACTAGGTCTGGTGACCAGGGGGGTCTCCAAGGAATTCCCTTAATTTGCAGGGATTTCCTCTCATTTCCTGTTTTGGCTATGGCTCTGCAATGGGACAGGAAGAATCTGATGGGTTACAACTCTCCCTTTCTATCTAAAAAAAAAAAAGTTTTGCCTACAGTTTTACTTTATGCAATTTTAACCCCTTAATGCCAGCGCCTCCCAGCCCTCTAAGGGGCTTATGATGCCGGGAAGCAGGCTTAGTTTATTATCATGTGATCGCCGTGATTGGCTGTCACACTGATCACAAGTAGCGATCGGGAGCGGTTAGGACCTGGCAACTGTTCTGGGAGCGCACAGGGTGCACACTCTGGGAACAGGTTTGTTTACATCTTGGTACACAAATATACGGCCTCTAGGCATCAACGCCCACCTGCTGAAAGACCGCATATTTGATACACTTGGCACAGAGAGGGTAAAACACAATATGCAGCTAAAAAAATAGTATACAGGCACTTGAAATGCTGAGATCACTTTTTTACAGGGTGCAAGCTATGGTTGCTGCTGTTCAGTATGTTGCAGAAGAAATATGGAAGTCACTACTCTAGAACTGTTTTTTGATGGTGCACTCTTCAGGCTCCCCCACTATGTATACTTTCACTATTAAAACGAGTCCCTGATTATGACTTTCATAGTCCTGGCAACCTGGTGATATATAACAAATGTTTGAGAGGAGTTTGACTAACCAAGTAGTAAAATACCAGGGTAGGATGACCATTCTAAGCATGCCTGACTTAGCTTAGATCCAGGCAAGAAAGTGAGTGGGGTATCAAGGGGGACTATCATTGAGCAGATATTGTATGGTTTGGATTGCAAGCACACAACACAGTGGATTTATATGATGCACTGTACAGAAAAAGCTACACCAAGAGATTATATTGTGGACTGTTATTGCATTGGGTGGACTGATATATACTAAGGAAAGATCTGTACCAGTGTTTAATGGTTTTTACTTTGATCATTTTTTTTCCTGTTTAAGCTCTTTGTATGATTAATTTTACACAGATGGCTAGTATTGGGTTTAAGGAAAACTGCTGCACTATTTATAGATTTCTTTTATCCATTCTGCTTGTTCTAATCATAGTGTTAGCAGCTAATTTGGGTGGATTTAGGTAGGTAAAAAGGTACTCAGAGAATTTTTTTTTTAAAAAAATTCTGCCTTCTCTATTAGGTGCATGTAACCTATTAGGTCTATGCCAGCAGTGAGGTGGCTGTAAACTAGGATTAGTTTAGATAAACCTGGGCAATTCAAACTCAACATATCATGAATAAATGCAAAAGCAAGTTGCCTTCAATTAAAATGTATCAAAACAATGAGTGGATGTAGAGCTACACACAGCAGAAGTTCAGGAAAATCCTGAATGTTCCTATGAATGCTGAACTCACAGCAGCCTCTCCTGCATCTTCAGCACAATAGGTGGGATGGGGCAAAACCAACCTTGACTTTCATAGCATGCTGAGATTTACATATCACTTCAAAACGGACTGAAACTAGATTATTATGACATGCAGTTTATATTGAAATGTTTTCATATATCTTCTTATCATAGCTCTGTTGAATTCCCTGCATCTGTGACACATTTTCTTTAAGGGGATTTAACAGCAAGGCAAGATGGTATCAGATTTTGATTAAAATATTGTAATAGTTTCTTTGCATTCACCCAAAACAGGGGGATTAGAAACTAAGCATATTTAGTTTTTATTAGAAAAAAAATAAAAAAAAAGCCAGCAGTCCTAGTTATAAGAGCTGCAGGTGAGAAAGACTGGGGGAGTTATTTTGTTTACAAAGGTTTCTTTATTACACTGCAGCTCACATGAAACGTTACAGGATCTGTAGACATGGAGCTACAGAGAAAAAGCTGAAATGATAATATTGTCTGGTTTTTAAATTCATTCCTCTGCTCTAGACTCTCTACTCTCACCCAACCTCGTAAGGATTACATTGGCAGCAGCACCAACGTATTAACAGCGAGAGGAGCCAAAGGTAAGTGTTTCCAATATGGGGAATGAATTTTTTTTTACTTTTACAGTGAACGGTCAGCTTTCTAGAAGTACTATTCTGAATTACTATATTGAACTATGGGGGAGAATTACTATGGTCAGTGACCCAGCATCGTGGTTTATTGCGAGATTTGGCTCGCTGAAGTGGGGATAACCAGGGCTTGGATTCTTTCTTGGATACACAGAATATAACTGGATACTAATATTTATAGGTAAAGTTTGATCTAGGGGATAAGGAAGGAATTTTTTTTCCCTGCAGGAGCAAACTGGTTCATGCTTTGCTGGGGTTTTTCTGCCTTCCTCTGGATCAATTGTGGGTATAGGATTAGAACTTATTTTTTATTTTTTGAACTGGATGAACTTTTGTCTTTTTTCAGCCAGACAAACTATGTAACCTTGCCATGCTATTCTACCTTTAAAGGATTTGTAATTCTGCACAACCAACCTTGTTTTTTTCACACCTTTTGGCATTGCTAAATGAACATGAGTATGCTAACAGTCCAATGAGCAAACTGGAGGTAGAGCCACCTGCCTAATTGGCAGGGTGGTAAATGTGTGTAAATCACAATATTGGCTGTACAAACTCACAAACCATTTGGCAGATAGAATCATAAACATATTTCCTTTGTTCACTAGGGAACCAAGGATTTAAAGGAAAAGTCCACCTGTTTTTAGAGTGGAACATGTACCATGCTCCTGCAGCTCTCCCGACAGCCCCCTCCCGTGACAGCAGCCACACCCGCTGTCACAATGTGGGGCTCCCCCCATACAGCCACGTCATTCATTCACAGAGCTCTGTGAATGAATGCCTACAAGTATTGTAGTTCTCAATGAACTGTGGGGGCTCTGGTGAGTCTCATAGTGCATTGAGCTTCCCGTCAAGCACTGGTGTAGTCCCTTCCTCTCCCAGCACTTTGCTTTTGCTAGTTTCACAGTTATTTGCTAGTTTCCTAAGAGTATAGATTTCTCATCTCTACTGAGAACAGCTTGACTGTTTTTTTTCATAGGCATTTTTTTGTACACTCAAGAATATATATAGTTTTTTTACTTCAGTAAAGATTCTATTACAATGCTTGATCTAGTCACTATGCCCAGCTATCGGGATCATCGTATCCTCAACAAAAGTTTTGGAGGCAGTACCCAGACCCTGCTGGATTAGACAATTGTGGGGCAAGCCTGGAAAGAGATCTTCAGCCAATGGGCTCTGCATTTTGGCCCTTTGAAGACCCGAGTGAACGGTGTTAGCAGTAAGGTGCTTTCTGAGCCTAGAGCCATGGCACAGCGAAGAATACAACTGCTGGGTGTCATTATTATCCCTATTTTTTTCACTGGGTTAATGCTGAGGGACTGAGCTCTGAAATAACTCCTTGGGTAGAGTGCTGCACTTTTCCGCTCGACATTCAGCATGGGGTAACACAGTCCTGCCACAGTCCTATCACAAATGACACAGGATTCATTTTAGGTTACTCTTTGCTGCCCATCTACTGTTACCTAGTCACCTCTGGCCATCTGAAAAAAGACTCCTGCTACCAGCAACTAGTTTGTACGTCTTCAAGACCTAGAGTTGTACCTTGAGCTTTGTTGTACCTGCCTTACAGCATATGTCAGATCCCAGACACACAAGGAACAGTCCTACTGTAATATGTTCTTCCAGACCAAAGTCCATTAGCAGCTCTGGGCTGCCTGCAGTGCACCCATTTGAGTGCATGACACTGAGAGCCTGCAATGCTGCCATCTTCTAGAGTCTTCCTTCGCTCTGTCATGAATGACCTGATTGCTAACTTCTCCTTCAGAATCGTTTGATCTGCCTGTGGTCTAATGGGTCTCTGAAGCTTCATCCAGAGGCTCTGATGGTTAAAGTGTTTGAAAAGGCTAACTAACTATTCCCAAACCATTCCCTAATCCCTCCTCCTTCCTATCCTGCATACCCAGTAAAAAAAAAAAAAAAAAAGTCTGTACTCACCTTTTTTTATTCCAATCCGGTCACATGATTTAGCAGTTTCTGGCTTCCCTGTGTAAGGGAGCTCTCAACAACAGTTGTGAACTCCCGGAGCTGACATCACCCCTTGGCCCATCTGTTGCCGCCGCTCCCGGCAGCAGCAGCTCAGTGACACAGGGAAATCGGAGCTGCTGGATCACATGACCTGATGGGGCAGAAAGGGCTATCACCCAGTTCCTGCGGCTGAATGGTTTCAGGGATTATAAACTAAGTCCCCAAACCAAAAGATATCTTTATTCTGTTCCAAAAATTCTGCATGCAATCTACCAGGTCTGTCATAGCCGCACTCAATCAGGGAACCTTTCTGGCCCCTGTGGACATCAAGGATGCATGCTTGCATGTCCCCATTTGTCTAGTAGATCAGCACTTCCTTCACTTTGCTGTGAGGCCCCAGAACTTCCAGTTTGTAGCCCTGCCATTCGACTTATCCTGTGGACCCAGTTTCTGGCCCCTGTACTAGCATTACTAATCCCCCAGGATGATCCTATTGTGTGATATCTGGAGAACCTGTGTTGAGTGAACAGTCAGCACAGGTGCTGGCTGATGACAAGGCATGGTCAACTCAGACTTTGCAAAGGTTTGGCTGAATCCTGAACCTTTAGAAGCCAGCACTGAGGCCAACTAATAAGAGTATCTCAGTCTTATCCTAGAAACAGCTCGAGCCAGAGTTTTCTCTCCCAAAAGGCTCCCAGACTTTGTCCAGGGGTCACCCAACTCTTCCCTTCTGCATGTGAGGCCTGGGGCTGATAGCAGTCTCATACAAGGCAACTCAAGTTTCCCAGAACACTGCAACTCAACATCCTGTCATCTTGGTTAGCTCAGTCTCTGTACAAACTGACAAACACTGTGTTGTCCCGTGACTCAGGAATCCAGTTCTGGGTTGGCAAAATCCTTCCCTCTGATCTCTTGGAAAATTCTCACAATGGATGCCAGCCAGACAGGCTGAAGACGAGTCCTAGACACCTTGTCAGTGCAGGGGACTTGGACACTGGAGGAATCTCATCTCCAGAATAATATTCTGGAGCTCTAAGTGAACTGGTTGCCCCTATAGGCACTGGACATTATGATTGAATGGTCATCAGATCAGGATCCAGTCAGACAAGGCCAAAGCTGTAGTATACATCCCATCAGGGAGGAACCAGAAGTATTCCAGTAGCGAGAGAAGTAGAAATGATTCTGTCATGGGCAGAACTTCCCGTATTGGGCTTGTCCACCTTTTACATCCTAGACATGGACAACAGAAGGCACACTTCCTCAGCCAGCAACACCTGAATCATGGGGAGTTCCTAAACCTGGAGGCATTTCAGGGCTTGTGTCGCAAGTGGGGGACGGAAGAAGTGGACCTTTTATTGTCCAGGTTATACAAACTGGGCAGCTTTGTCTCTAAATACAGAGATCCTCTATCTATAGCAGATGCTTTGCTGGCTCCGTGGGATCAGAACAGCCTGATCTCTATGCCTTTCTCATCTGCTCTACAGGGTCGAGATAGAGGACATTCTGGTGATTCTCCAAGTTTTTCATAAGAACTGGTGGATGTGGTTTTTTCAACCTAATCAGACTCCTGGAAGGTGCACCATGGGCTCTTCCAAATCATTAGGACCTTCAATCCTAAGGACAGTTTTACCATCCCACTTCACAGTCACAGGCTTTAACAACATAACTATTGAAGTCCAAGTCTTGAAGGACAGGATATTTAAAAAATGGTGGATCCCACAATGTTAAAAGCCAGAACGTCTATTTATTGCAAGGTCTACCATCATACATCATAAGGTATACTTGGTGCGAGAAAGGATTTCACCCCAGAAAATACTCTGTGGGACAAATCCTCACCTTTTTGCAACAAAGTCTAGATCAAGAGTTGGCCACCAGAGTACCACCAGTCTTGAAGAAAAATAAATGTGGCACTGACCTCCTTTCTCACCCCTTCCCCCCTGTGGTATTATCTACTGCAAAATGACAGGCCTACTTTCATTATCATCAATTAATCACTTACTTGATCAAATAAACATCATATTTTCCAGCCGAGCGCCCTGACTTCCTCTGCTTCAGCTTTCTCGTCCAGCCTTCAGGAAGAGTAGGATCATCATACATAGGTCCTCTATCTCTAATCACAGACCGTCTTTGCTTAGGGAGGGCAGAAGCTTCAGGGACAGCAGGTTCAGCAGCCTCTGTGCTTTCAGGTACTTCAGCTTTCCGTGCTTCAGTGGGTTTTCCTGACTGCTGTGTTGATGGATGGGCTCCTTCAGATAGCTCTCCATCGCTGTTTTTATCCTTTTTAACTCTCCTGAGTTTTGGTGGTTTGTTTTTCTGATCTAAATCTTCTTTTTCTTCCCTTGGGGTGTAAAAATAAAAAAAGAGAAGACGATAGGATTATTACCAATTTCTTTTACAAAATGTATACAATCACACAAAGTATCTCTGTCACATATGAAGTCAAATTCCAATGCTGTGGAACACATGAAAACAAAGAAATCTCAGGATTTGGAGCTCTTATTTAAAGCTGGCCCTGAGGACCTACACACATAAAATCGTGTACTCTCAAATCTGCTAATAAAGCTCAATCGTGTATACATTATACACTGAACAAGTTGTGCCAATAATGTCTCCGACCCAGGAACCATTTTACACATTTGCTATAGACTTGCCCAAGCATTCAAGGTTATTGGAAACAAATTTCTTCATGATGAAAGAAGATCTCAGATGACCTTTAACCCAAAAAATCTACTATTAGGCACTTTTGAGAACCTTGAGTCACAAGTATAGTCAAGCTTTTTTATTTTACATGCCTAAAATGATATTAAATTAATAGAGGGTGGTTATCCAAGATCCATAGGATCTCTAATAAGATAGATGACTAACCTATAACTGTTGTTACACAGCATCGCCTCTCACTGAATCCATTTATTGAATACTACATTATTCTTAATGTTTTGTTAATGTAAAAGACTACAGCTTCTCTTCTTCCTTAACCACCTCCCGTCCTGCCGTTGTATATAAACAGCCGGACGGTGGCAGTGCAGGGTCGGGTGGCCTCCGGCAACAGTGGAACACTGATCGTCGGACGGGACCCCTGTACGAGGTCCCGATCATGTGATCACTGATTGGCCAATCAGTGATCACATGCAGATAGTAAGCAAGATGTCACTTGTGACATCATTGCTCACTACGTGTGAAATCTGTGAATGATCACAGAGGTCACATGGTACAAGGCTATCCACAACAGCCTTGTACCATGTGACAAGCTGTGACCAATCACAGCTCACTCAGTAGTTCTCAATGGCTGCAAGAATGCAGCTAGAGAGAAGGAGAAATGATTGCTTTTACATCCTTTATGGGTGTAAAAGCAATCATAGTAAAAAAAAAAAAATAAATCATCACCCCCACAAGTAGTACAGTGTCACCATGGTGACACTGTACTGCTAGGTTGACAGTATGTAAAAAAAAAATAAATACAAAAATATAAAAAAAAAATTAAAAAAATGTTTAAAAATTATGATTTTTGGTTATAAACTAATTTGGGTATTTTTTTTTTTTAACTAAAAATATAACAGAATACATTTTGGCCAAGATTTATGATGAAATATTATTTATTTGCAAAATTTTAAAAGAAAAACAACTTTCTTTCAAAATTTTTGGACTTTTTCATTTACATAGCAAAAAAAAATAAAAAATCCCAGCGGTGAATAAATACCACCAAAATAAAGCTTTAACGGTCTCAAAAAAAATGCAAAAAAATTCATATGGGTACAGTGTTGCATGACCGCACAATTGTCATTCAAAGTGTGATAGCGCTGAAAGCTGAAAATTGGCCTGGACAGGAAGGGGGTAAAAATGTCCGGACAGGAAGTGGTTAAAGGATACGTTTACCTTTTTAAACGTTACATGTTCAACCCGTATTTAGGGTGTAACATGTTCAAGCTCCTGCCACCTTTCCTCACCAATCCCCCCGTATGTGTGACAGCGGGTGGGGGATCTTCTCCCTGTATCCGCTGTGACAATTCAAAAACTGTGTGGCTGTACGGGGCTCCGCTCACATGGCTGCATCATTCATTCAGTTTCCTGTGAATGAATGAACTACAAGTACTACCAGCCACTGCGACAGACAGCTTGTAGTTCTACATCAACTGCAAGGTCACTGACATGCACCCTTATAATTTGTTCACAAATTTCTGCAGCTTTCAAACTGACAGCTCATATGGCCGTATAGGCAGAAAGCTGCAGGGCTTGTCTGCATAAACCTGACATTGCACCACTGATCACGGGTTCAATGCTCTCCAGGCTCCTGCAGGAAAAAATTAAAAATACACGTTTTTCTGCAAAAATATGTGCATTTATTATTTTTTTTCTAAAAAGGTGAACTTATTCTTTAAAAACACACTTGTATTATTTCTCCAATATATCGAGTCTGCAATGTTAGTCACTTTCTCCTAATGACAAAATCTGAAGAGAAAATTATGTGGATGCACAGGGACACCTTGATCTCACATTCTTTGAAATAAATACAAACGTTATAAATACATTTTGTATTATGTTTGACATTCTGTTATTTACAATGTAATCACTAAAATGTTTCATCTTAGCCTATTAAGGACCTAGGGCATGCATTACAGCCAGACCTGCTTTCAGTTTGACAACTAGGGTGTCATAACTGCTATGAGCAGCTATTTCAGGTCTGATAGGCAGAAACAGCTGTTCTTTGTCAGTGTTTGTAAAAATGTAAGCAAACACTAAGGGCCTCTTCACACTGCTGTGTTGCTGGAACACGTGTTCCATGCATTAGTGCAATACTGTGCCACTTATTCTGAATGACACCCCATCCTACCTTGCTGATAGAGGTGCATTGGTGCATTAGGCACTCCATTCAAATGACTGGGCTGCCCTAATGCAACACTCATTACCACATGTGCGTCACGCACTGCAATGGTGTAAATGGTCCCAAATACAATGTATACATTTAGCAGCTGATAAAGTAAAATACAGCAAATTGAAGATTGTTTTTTTTTTTTTTTTTTTTTTTTACACAGTTGTTGCAATAAGTCTCCTTATAAGTAACCTTCGGAAAGACTATTTTCCATTGAATAAACTCTAATAAATGCATTTCTTGTGTTCTCCTTAGCATCTTTACTAGCATTTCTAATGTTCATATATCATTTTTTTGTTTCCTTTCATTAGTTTGTAGGAATTTTTTTCAGTGTAAATTTATGCCAACACAAATTTAAAGTGTTACTAAATCCACAACCATAAAATCAATCTGTATATACAGTAAAGCATGCTTGTTCTACTTACTGTAGAACCTAAGGGGTTAATCCTCTGCATTGTGTAAAAAGGATGTTTGATCCTGACTTCTCAGATCCTCCCCTTTTTCTACTGTCCCCAATCCATCTGCTGATGGAACAGAGCCTTGGGGGCAAGCTACACATGCTCAGATTGGTGTGCATTGCTAGAGAGTTTTTATTTTCTTGGTAGAGTGCATGTGCTCAGCACAGGGAAAATCAGCGCTGTCAGGGGTCCTGTCAGAGAGTCAGGGTTCCTGCAGCCTCATAGGACAATCAGGGGAAAATGAAAACTCTTCCTATGAGGTTTAACCAGTGCTCTGCTGAACACTGATAGAAGTCACAAGGCTGCTCTAACTGCTGATGAGAAAAAGTATTTAGCAGTTTATATTTACTAAAATAATTGCATTTCCATGTCGTGTGTACTGTGGGAGACCAGCTATAGTGAATGCAGGGTCCGGGGAGAGCGGATATAGTGAATGCAGGGTCCGGGGAGACCGGATATAGTGAATGCAGGGTCCGGGGAGACCGGATATAGTGAATGCAGGGTCCGGGGAGACCGGATATAGTGAATGCAGGGTCCGGGGGGAGACCGGATATAGTGAATGCAGGGTCCTGGGAGACCGGATATAGTGAATGCCGGGTTTAGTAACACTTTAAGGCTCTTTTACACCAGCAACATTAACACAAGGCTGCTGGTGTGCACTGGAAGGATACACTGCCAATTCCAGGACATCACACTGTTCACTAATTTTTCTCTTTTAGAAATGTATATAAATGTCACATTTCTACAAGTTCTGAAGAGTTTTGAAGTTGGGATCTTTCCCCAGCCTGGACCAGCTGAGTGACGTGAGCTGACAGCGGGCTTCAGTGAATGAAAATTGGTCACAGGGTGTGCACAATGAACTGCACAGAAGTACAGCCAAAAGAGCTTCAGCTGTACTTCGGGTCCTTTAAGCAACATACAAATTAAAGCTAACACTTAACACCACACAAAAAGTTGTTAAAATAACAATTCTATCCATGAAGGTAAAAAACCTGGGTGCAGCAGCCCCCCAAATTACCTGAACAGTGCAATCCAGCGATGTGCACAAGAGCAGCGGCTCTCCGGGGTCTCTAAATGTCCTTATTGGCTGACAACCGTAGCTAAGCCAGTTTGAAGCTACTGATCCATCCACAGCCAGTGTGCCAATGAGTGAGTGAGCAGGGAAGGGGCCAGCCACGCTCTGTCACTGGATGGACATGAACTGCAGCAGAAGTCAGGAGCAAAAAGCCTGCTCAGGTGTACTTCCCTTTAGCAAGCACTTACAATGGCAAGCAATACACTTAACCTGTCTGTTGTCCGATGCTTTTCATAAGCAGGTGCACCTGCAGTATGGTTAGGGTTGCTGTATTTTAAAGCAATAAAGTTATTGATCTTAATAGCTGTGCGCGCTCTGGGAGCTCACCTAGATTGGCTGTGTCAGGACAATGTGCACTACCGATGTTGACCTCATACGAGGTCTCTCCGATCAGAACCGCTATTGGCGTCATATGATGCCATGCTTAGGTAAGCAAGAGTCACCATGGACATCCTGCTTTTATCTGTCAGTTAATCTTTGAATGATCACAATCACATGGTACAAGGCTATTCACAACAGCCTTGTACCATTGATTTTTTCACTCAAAGAATGTATAGTGGTTTTGTGCATATGCGCAGATATTTTCAGGTAAATAGGTTATCGTATTTATGAATCCTTTTGTGATCAGAGGTAAATATTGCTTGCTGCCCAGGCCTAAAAATTTAGCATTACTAATGTGTTTTTTAACTTAAATCTTCATCACCTCCACTCTGCTAGCTTACAGTGTCACCTACCTGGCTCACAGTGTCCTGTATTGACAGTATGTGAAAAAAAAATACCTTCAGCAGCCAATCATAAAGGAGCAGCATTTAAAAAACACAGTCTGCTAAAGGTAAAGTGTAAAATGGACGTCTTTTAGAGTATTTTGCTTTTTTTACTATTTTTTTGTTTTATTTTGTGGTGATAAGGTCACTTTGATAATAACGGAATAACTTAT